CCTCTTACTGCGTAGGTTGACAAGGGGTCTATTTAAGGTACAACCCAAGGTCGGCAATATCGGCAAGGTGAGAGGACTAAAGTACCTCAAGTCTCGAGGTAAGACGACTGGCAGCAAGGGAGTGACAGCGGTGGTGATTGGGTCAAACGCCCAATGACATCAACCCTACCTTTCCTTCCACCTGCCAGAGCTGAATTCAACCTGACACATGCGCTGTATCTGTATCGAATCGGCCCAACTCAACGCGGCCTCTTACCCATACTTATTGCGGGAATAAACTTGGCTTGACAACAGTGAACTATTATCTTACCTTATCTTACTTTGCTTTTGTGCTTCCTGGTGAGCGTTTGCAATAAGCACAGTCCTTTCCTTACCCTTGCTTTGAGAGACGGCTGGAGCTTTTGAGCCTGCGCCTTCGGTCTCGCCTCCGTAGGCCTACTGGTACTCCCCAACTCAATTGTCACTCAGCTCTGACGGCGAGGCTTGGAAGAGGGCTCAGCCACACGCGTCTACGTCGCCTCCTTGTGAACATCACGCTGTGTTCTATCCATACGGACAACATCGAATTAATCATCGTCTATTACCAGGAAAGCCGAGACAGCGAGTCGCCTGAGCTTTTCGGCCTTTCCCGCATCCCGCGGCGACGCAGACCATACCGACGACGCCGACTGCGCCGACTGTAGCTTCTGCTTCTTTCCACGACTTCCGATGAAAGCTCCCTCTCGATTTCTTGCAGGTTTCTGATGAACTGAAGCGAACCTTCCTCACTCCTCTTCCGCCGTCGTTCTTGGCTACCTCACCATACTATTCCATACACCTCACTTCTAACGCAAAGCATTACGCGCAGCCAAGAGAAAAAAGACCAAGACCGGGGAAAAAATAGATACCACCCCACCTAGGTTGCTTGGACTAGATTGCCCCTCATTCCAATTCGGAGCTCGCACGGTGCAATACGTTCACTTAATTGAGGTCGAGGAGCTGTTTTGCGACGTCTGGTGCGCCTGTTTGTCTGTGCCTCATCCCACCTCCGACCGGCAAAACCACCATTGCAGAGAACCAAAGTCGTGGCAGCACATTACACGAAGCGCACTGGGTACCTGAACCACATACCATCAACCGACGACACCTCCCACATCACCACCACCAGAGGATATCCTCTTAAACAAGGAAGGCGCGGACTGAGCAAATACCAGAAACCCACAACCATGTCGATCAGAATAGCACTCGACAATGCGCCAGAGTTCTACACCAACCTAGACAATGTCAAAGGCCGCGTCGTGCTCCACCTGAGCCGGCCGGAGCAGATTGGCGGCATCGTCGTCAAGCTTGAGGGTGAGTCCAAGACCGCCCTCGGCCTGCCGCAGGACAGCTATCACGAGCGTAACACCCGGCCCGGAGGCGGGCCCGGGAGCATCGCAAGTGAAAACCACAAAATCCTCTACCGGGTCGCACAGGTTTTCCCGACGTACGAGGAGGACCTCGGCGGCGGCGGCTCGAGTTTCTCCCAGAGCTACGTCATCCAGGGAGGTCAGCACGAGTTCCCCTTCAACTTCAAGCTGCCCATCAACAATGCCTGCAGCGATCCCGTCTCCATGTCCAAGATTGGTGGCATCGGCGGCATGGGAGGCTTCGGCGCCGGCATCGGACCCTTTGGACTCGGCGGTGCCCGGGTCATGGACGGGAGCAAGCAGCTCTTCCTGCAGCACGTCACCAAAACCTTGCCGCCGTCCTTCACCGGATTCCCCCGGCAGGCCGAGGTGCGGTACTACCTCAAGGTCACCATCCAGCGCCCTGGCTTCTTGAAGGAGAACTGGCGGTACCAGATCGGCTTCAAGTTTATGCCCATCGAGCCACCCCGGCCTCCAAAGACCTCGCAGGAAGCCTTTGCCCGTCGACCTTTCACCTTTAAGCCGCGGCCCCGGAGCTTACAGACGAAGAAGTCAACCATGTTCGGCTCCAGCAGGGACGACGGCACCGGGGACGCCAATGCCGTGCCGCCGTCCATCGAGCTCTCTGCGCGCCTGCCACACCCCCCGATCCTGACGTGCAATCAACCTTTACCGCTACGGCTCATCGCAAAGAAGCTCGTTCCGTCACATGAGCAGGTATACCTCACCTCCATCCAGATCGAACTCGTAGGCAATACCCGCGTACGATGCCACGACCTCTTCAACACGGAAGTCAGCAAATGGGTCGTCGTCACGCAGTCCGGTCTCAGCATCCCGCTCCTCACGGACCCGACCTCGGAAGACCTGAACCTCGAGAGCGTCATCCCGGACGACCTGTGGCGCTCCATCCCGCTACCCAACACCGTAGCGCCCTCCTTTATGGCGTGTAACCTCCAGCGCTTCTACGAGCTCGACATCCAGTTGGGTCTCTGCTGGGGCAAACCACCCACGCGCGGCGGCTTCCTTAACTCGACAAAGGAGAACCCCGCGGCGCAGACCATCTACCTCCCGCTTCATTTCTCCAAGATTCAAATTTACTCGGGTATCGCGCCACCGCCGCAGCTCCTCGAGGCGCTCGCGGCGCAGGCTAACAGGCCCGGCGCGGCGACGATGAGCATGCCGCCTAGGTTACCCCCTCGCACGGCGCAGTCTGCCCCCGTGACGGCCACGCAGGGGAGACCACAGGGTCAACAGCAGCAGAGACCACCGCAGCAACACCCTGCTATGGCGGCGCCGCAGTATGATCCGCTGTATCCGCCGCAGATGGGCACGCCTGGAGCAGCCAACTTCGACGAGGCGCCGCCTAGTTACGATGAGGCTATGGCTGCGGAGGCGCCTGCGCCGGGACCGGAGTCGAGGCCGGCGTATAGTGGCGTTACGAACGAGAATGCGCCGAGTCAGATTCCGGAGAAGGGGAATTAGAGAAGGTGGATGAGAGCTGAGAGATGGGGTTTGGAAGTGGGTGTGTTTTGATGTTTGTGTGTTTTGAGATGTTCGGGCTCCTTGGGAGAAGATGCGGGTGTAGATTGGAGGGGATAGGAATACATTGGGGAGAAACTAATGAGTAATGTCGGGGTTTGTTTGGTATGTTCTGAGAGGGCTGGTGGAAGCTCGACCACTAGGCACCGGTTTGGGAAGGGGGAAGGAAAAGGATTAGTGGAGGGTGAAGCGTTTTCGTTTATTATACCATGGCCAATATTGAGGGGATGTTATACTTTGAACTACATGACTCTTCACGGGGCACTGCTTCCGTGGCTCTATGACGAGGGAAGACTTTGGCATGTTTTGTTTTCGTGGTCCGGTCTCGTCTGTACCAGATAAAGCGGAGCTGGAAGGGTACTTTCTTTTCAGGTAGCATGCCGGGTATCTCTTCAAGTACAGCATAGCCATTATGAAAGCTTCCTAGTGTTTGTGACGCTATATCCAAGGCACAAGCCGTGTCTGTAGAGCTATCAACTGAGGTATCGCAGATGTTAAGCTTCTCTCTGCGCTTTCCGAGACCCCGTGTACGTCTCCGGATCCCCGGGACTTTGGATTGCGGAGGTATAAAAACTTTCGGTCGTGAGGTACCTCGTTTCGTTTACAACGCAGCAAAACCCCCACTGGTTGACGAGTTGCAAGGCGGAACAGTCATGATGGCCTCTAGAAACGGCGGGTGATCTGAGCCAAGACAAGACACATCCTCCCACAGCATCCCTGCACGGGTCTTTCTGAAAAAAGAAAAAAAAAAAAAAGGACGAAAGAAGGCTTACTATATTGGCATTCTTAATCGGCTCAATATTCAGGGGCGAATAGAAGGGAAATGGCAAAGATAGTTGACTGGCGCTGTAGTTGGAGTCGATTTTCTCCCATATCTGCGTGGTGTATCTCGTGGAAGCCTGACCAAAGTTGCCGCTCTCGAGCACTTCACCGCCCTCGCCCACTTGCAGCTGGGCATCTCCCACGCCACCGATGCGCAGGGGCTTTGCCAAGGAGACTTTTCTCGACGCAACAAGCCTTGTTTTATACTACTGGGCATGGCGCAGATCAACCTAGCTAGATGCCCGTAAAGTTTTCTGATGGTAGGACCAGTCGGAAGGAAGGAGTCACCGCTCTACCTTATTATCAAAGGCTGGCCTCTGTAAAGGGTTCTGAATTCCGCCGACACAGCCTTGCTCATCCTCTTCATAGCCTTAGGCTATCCAGACTCTAGGTAATGGGCCTTGCTATTGTCACTTCTCTTCTAGTCTCTCGCATGGACCATGATAGTACCCAAAACCGTCGCCAAGGTACCAGTTATCTTCTCTTTAATGTATAGTATTCACTAGTGAATACGAGCCAGAGGGATAGAGAAGAGGTGATAAAGTCTTTAGCTGACTCGACGGTGCACCTAGCTCTAGGTGCTATACAGCAGCAGCATTCTTTCATTCTTTCATCTAAGGAACCCTTGACTTGAGATCTGCTTGTCGCTTCGGATCTCGACGCAGTACCCTATCACGGCTACATACATATGCGTTGCTGGCTTCTTGTTGCGGCTGCGATTACGGCTATTTATAAGCTACAGAGAGTATGGATAGATTGTTTCCTTTGGGCTGATATGATGATGGGCCCTGAAAGTGACGCGTCCTCGTCGGAAGTTGGACTCGATCTCTGGAAACCAGCTCAAAATTCCAGCCATGAGACTCATAGTGCCCACTGCTGCCGGGGAGTGAATGCGAAGCTGTCTTCATTGATAACCCCTGTAGTAGTAAGGTGCCTTACTTAAGGGAACTTGACTTTTGCCATGCAATGCAAATCTATGTCAATCATGGGCGATGGACATTCTATTCATGCTCGTGCTCTCGTGATATATGTCGTAGGCTCTTTTCCCCCTTCTGGTCTAAGACTTATAATACGTCTCAATGCTTACACGTCTTCTGGATCTATTCCAACCGATAACGCCACTGCTCGCTGCGTCTATCCCTTGCTCGCTCGTAGTCTTACACACCTCCTAGTTGAGATTACAGTAGTAGCCAGCATCATTATACATAGCCCTCAAAGTGAGTTCCTCGCATACCTTATACATCAACTGCCTCATAAACCCTCCTTGGCCAACATATCCGCAATATCGAGATAAAACGCAACAGCATTAAACGTCCTCGTCTGCCCCATCCACACCTTGCGCAACGTCCACTTGAGCCGATTCGACCAATTGATCAAATCCAAATGGCTCACGTCCAGCAGCGTGCCCTGATACTTTCCCCACCGGCTACTCACAACACTCACCAACCCATCATTCGCCCCCTCGGCCTCCTCAATGACCCAATGACTTTGCCGAAACGGGCTCAGTAGTGGCGGCCGGTCCGTACACGCGCCATAACTAAAATACCGCACCTCATCGCTGTCAGGGGTAGCAGGGTTGAATTCTCCCTCCATGTACCGCTGCGTAAGCTGCTCAAAAGCCTGCGTCCCCAACCCGGCACGCTCAATGAGCCCGTACAGATTCGCGAGCTTGATGGGGCCTTGCCCATCCAACAGATAATCTGCAAACGCGCTCCCGCGGTGCGGCGTCGCTACGGTGACGAGACTAAGGACTTTGACATCGCGCGGCTTGAGATGGGAAATCATGTAGCGGGCGTCCAGCCCGCCCATGGAGTGCGCGACGATGTTGACGGCGCGGCCGCCGGCTTTGGCGGCGATGTCGGCGCCCAGTTTTGCGGCGCGCTCCTCGATGGAGCCCGAGGGCGGGACGGAGGTGGTGATGATGTTGGACGGACCGGAGAGGGTGCTCAACGAGTCGGAGATGCCGCGCCAGTAGTGGATCGGCGGGACATAGGCGCCGAGGCGCAGTTCGGAGAAGCCCATCAGTCCGTGGGCGAGGACGATGGGGTTCTTTGGCGTGTCTGGCGGGCGTGTAAGTGCGGGTGGATCATTATGGTCTGGACAGAGGCGGGGTTGGGAAGCAGGAGGACTCGAAACGGTACTAGGAGGACAATATCCTTGAAAGGGCAAACAAGAGAGGAAGGGGAGAGGATCGGATCGGATAAGAAGGAGGGGGGCAAAATGGTACCATAGTGTTCTCTAACGACGGCATACTCGTCCGATATCTGTTTGCCCAGGTCTCTGAACCTCGGGTCACCGTCGTGCTTCGGCCGCAAGTGCGAGACGGAGAAAGGACGGCTGTCTCGGGCAGCAAGAGGGCGAAGCAAGCGATGAGACGCGGTTGGCGCACAAATGAGCCGTGAGGAGGGCGCGCAAGGGCGGCACCTCGTGAGGCGTGCGCTGTTCATGGCATGGAAGGAAGAGCGTAAGCCGCCGCGGGCGCGGGGTGGTGGGGAGAAGAGAGAGTGAGGGAGAGAGAATCTGGCAAGTCTCTGATTCTCTAGTCACTTGATGAGGATTGGATGTACCCTCTGTTCGCCTCAGTTGGTTGGTTGTCCCCCCTCTTTTCTGTACCGGTTTGTTTGCTTTGCTTGTTTTTCTCGAGGATGTGAATGGCCTGGCTTGGTTCCGGTCCCTCGACGTTTCTGTTTTCTTTACTGTGTTACAAGGTTCGTAATGGAGTGTGGAACGAAGATGCTTGCTCTGCAATCCCAAAGTCTGCATACGGAGAGTATGTGTGTGTGTGCTGCGGAAAGGAAGGAAGGAAGAAACGCGCATTTCTGAGCAATGAGAGGTGTTTGCCAAGCATGTTTAAGCGCCCGGCTCTTTGACGTCACGCAGGACCGCGGCCGCGAACAGTTTAGCGCGACAGCGGGGGGGGGGGGTCTCTCTCGGCCGGAGGGTTCACCGTGTGCTGGAAGTATAGTGGAGCCTTCCTTGGGGGCCTGGCGTGCGGCTTGCGGCTTGCCCTGGGCTTCGGCCGCTAGTGATTAGTGGACGGATGTCTCCCGCACAATCCACCAAGCTTGGTCAGAGCTTCTTTCTTCCACTTCCTCCTCCTTCACCCTTGTCTCTGTCCATATGCTCTGTGCGATCTGCGCCCTTGTCGACCGGGGGTTGGGATAGTCCACAGGCAAAGTTCATGGATAACGTTGTTGGTGTTGGTCTTTTTGCTTAGCTTCGCTGGCCTGCAGCACTGCAGATTGCCAGATGCTGCCCTGAAGTTTGCCAATCCTGTTCCGCCTTCGGGTGCCGGTCCCGGTCCTTGTCCTTGATCAGAGTTCAGACTTTCCCGTCCCAGGTTCCCCGTCGCCCCAACTGCCAAAACCAACACCCACCGGCCGTTGGTTCATCTCCTTGCTGTCGTCTTCCGCCGCCATCTTTCGAGGGTGTCTTGGTGTGAGGGCGGCCGCATCATGCAGCCTGCAGTTGCCTGCTGTGCGGTGCGGGCGTGCGCACACAGTTTGTTGCACTGCACCTGCCATGGCAGCCCATGGCAGGAGAAACAAATCTCGGGTACGTCGGCCATGATTCATCGGCTCCTGGCGATCGGCCAGTGCCCTCTCATTTTCTTCCATGTTCATGTTCACCCTCTCTCCCCTCACTGCATGAAGATCATCGATGCTACCGTTGGCTGGCCTCAGAACCAACACGCACGAGACAGGAAATCCCTAAGTCAGGCTTCGGTTTTGAAACCTGTCTGGCCTCTCGAGTGTGTTTGCCCTTTCGCGAATGATATCCCATCGTTGACTGTTTCCCCCGCTTCTGGGACCACGTCTTGATTACCTGCCCCCAGCCCCCACCGTGTCCCCAGGCCCAAAGTGCAATGCGGCGTAGCAGCTCAAAGTTCAAAGGACTGGCTGTGAACCAGTGTGTTCGACACCCTCCCGTAGCCATGCTGTAGGGCAGATGAGAGCGACGGCTGCTTTCGCCATTGGACGACGGCCCCCTGCTCACCGGCCATCGAAGACCAACATGGCCTCACTGAATGACCGTCCAATGTAACCTCCTCATCTGCGCCGCCCGTGGGTAAACAGGCCGCAACCGCCAACCTTGCCTGCTTGATTGGTCCAGAGCTCATGCTGAAGAGGGCCCGGATCTGCAAACTTTCGACTGTTGCACCGTCGAACCGTTCCGCTGGGACGGCTTCGCCCTCTCACGCCCGCTATCCACACCCACACCTGGTGTTTGTTTGCTTGCCAGCCTCGCTGGCTCGTTGGGAGGCGTCAGCGCCTTCTTCTTCCTTCGCGGCAGTTGGGCATCTTAGAAAACGCCAGTCAGCACTGCTTGTTGCTGTTCATCAGTCAAGTTGCGATTCGTCTTATAGGTACCGCCGTTGCTGCGTTGTCAGTCCCCGATGAGAAGTGCTCACAAAGTTGCCCGGTTGAAGGTCGACTGAAGAAAGTTCTTGTTGGTACAACGTCTCTTCCGTAGTGGATGTATCCATAACGGATGAAACCGCGGAAGCTGATGGTGTGCCCGTTTGAATCGACCCCGGCCTGGTCTTGCGTGTACCTTACCTCCATCTCCGTCGGGCCGCTCGTCTTCATTGTCCACGGCCTCTGCTGTCCGCAATCATCCATATCCCAACCGTCGCGATTATGCAGACCGGTTTGCTGGAATGCTTGATCCATTACACACCTGGCTTCTGCAGCGTGTATATATCCCCAATGCCCGGCGCGCTTCTTCCTTTCCCGCTCCTTCTCTCGGCATGTCCAGCCATCCGATGGTCAAGCGACGCAACGTTCACTGTCGCCTGTCAAGTGGAACGTAAGCACAATGACAGGCGACTGCGGAGACTCGTGCCCCTACCCGGGGGGCTTTACCTCCTACTCGCCTTCGGTAATTGGGAGTGCCATCTTTCTGGTAGCCTTTGCGCTGCTCGTGCCTCTGGCCTTGTACCAAGGCTTTCGTTTCAAGACGCCTTTATTCGCGTCGACTCTAGCGACCGGTCTTCTCCTCGAGGTCTTGGGCTTCGCTGGAAGATTGAGGCTCCGAAATGATACCGCCAGCGGGACTTCATTCTCCCTTTGGCTCATCGGGGCCATCTTGGGCCCTACTCTCATCGCAGCGGCCATATGTCAGATCCTTCCCCATGTCATCGCCCTCTACGGTCTCGGCATTGGCTTTACCCGGCCAAGAGTGGCTGTCTTGTTCCTCATCTTCGCTCTTGCTCTCGTCATTGCATTGGAAATTGCCGGGGTTGTCTCAGCTGTTTTTGGGCTCGGAGGTGTACAGGTACGGATTTCATCGTTCTGCTGCCTAGCAGTCCCCATCTCTAACAAGCCCCAATAGACACCGTCGATTCTTCTGGCCGGCTTAGGCGTTCAGATTTTGGCGTTGCTGCTCTTCGTCGGATTGTTCCTCTGGTTCACCCAGAAGCTTCCTGACCCGAAACACATTGCCGTGTACCAAGCACCGCGTTTTAAGAACTTCGTCAAGAGTAAGTAGACCCATTGCCGCAGGACCAACATAGTCTGACGATCTTTTCTCAGTGATACCAGCAGTCGCTGTCGTCTTGGTGGGGCACACCATCTATCGCCTCGTTGAGTTCTGGGACGGACTCGATAGCCCTCTTCAGCGGTCGGAAGCCGCTTCACTGGTCATCGGAGGTGCTCTGCCATTCCTCGTCGCCTCAGTCTTATGCGTATACCATCCTGGTGCATCTTTCGGTCGAGCGTGGGGCCTGACATCGCCGCGATATCGATCTTTATCACTGAGGTCGCGCCGCGGTGCTCCGTCGCCTCTGCAGTCGCCAACTGCACCTTGGGACGACCACAAAGGACCCCGTCAGCCGGGATTCACTGCCACCCGGTTCCCAGACAAGAAGATGTCGCCCGTCGGAGTTGGCCCAGTTCCCTTGAGAGAGTCAACAATGGCAAGCAAGGTTGCCGGTAGTCCTGGCAATAGATCGGTCACCTACCCAAGCCCCATTGCTTCGACACACAAGTTGAGTCCCATCGGCTCACAACATAAAATGAGTCCAACCTTCCAGGGCACTCAACAGCCGACAAATCCCAATCGCTACAGCAACACCAAGCCCAACGCAAAGCCGATGGTAAATAGTGAAGAACTGTGGTAGCGAGAAGTTGGCAAAGAGTGGCTCTCGATTCGTGCAATGGTATATCCTCTTTCATGTGGTAGCGTGGCGTTTGATATTTTCGGTGGCTGAGAATGCTGCGGCCTTTTGTCTTTTTTGTCACCAGGATACCATTCTCCTGTATATACCTTGGGTGGCTAGAGTTGATCTCGATATTTATATTTACCCATAGCTTCTGCATTTCGAAATGTAAATTGCTTGAGGTTACAAAGTAAAAGCACCCGTAGCTTTCCTCCAGAAGAAGTATGCTAAGCCAAAAGCTGCGCCTCCGAGGTGTCCGGCATGTCCCACTCCTGTGTCCCGCTCGGTACTCAGACAGTAGGCATCCACGGCAAACATTCCCAAGACAACAAGGCGCAAGGGTAGAACTTGATGTGTCCCGGAAAGGCGGACCTTCATCGTGGGAAACATCAACGCCAGAGCTGTGCCGAGACCAGTCAAGGCTCCGCTTGCTCCAACAGCCGTCCTCTCGGCATTGTTCTTTGCTCCCCGTCTTCTCCTGGCATTGAAAATGTGGCAAAGGCAAGCGGTGATTGCACTCCCGAGGGACAGTACAATGAATCGTAGCGGCGATACACTGAGTAAATAAAACGACTCGACATAAGTTTTATATGTTGACATGTTGACGAAAAGGTGTAAAGGCTGGATGTGACTAAAGGCCGAGGTAAAGAAGGTGAGTAGTCGGGGGTCACTTGAGCTGAGCATAAAGTATTTGTGAAGAAATGCGGAAAGACGCCTGCGGTCTATCGGGAGCGAAGAGAAGATTGGATGGAGCGCGGTCAGCCAGGCCAGATGGATGGCAATATTGCTCACGGGAACTCCGTAGAAGAGGGCAGTCCAGAGCGGTCCAATATTGCCGGGTGCAAATCTTGCGGGATACCCAAATGCTGAGAGTGATGCCATATTGATACTGTCTCCTGTGATGACTAGTGGGTACTGGAAATGAGAGGCGACGCTCAGACGCGGAAACTGTGAAGTGGTGCCGTTGGGTATGAACAAGAGGAGACACGATGTCTTGAACTAGCTCTCAGGGGTTTTGGTTTTGTACGAGCTGGACTGGTCTTGATATCTAGAACATGGACTTCAATCTCGAGTTTCGTATGAAGGTGACTGGGGGGAAAGCATGTGTAGATTGCACAGGATCTAGATGGCGTGACGTTGTCGCTTTCTGTCGAGGTAGATTCTGAAGTTCGCAGTGCTCCGTTCGAGAAAGGAGCCGAAGTCGTCGTTGGATGGAAGGTGCGTAAAGAAGAAGGGTTGGTCCGTGCCTAAGGTACGTAGTGTATGACAGTGCTGATTTTGTGCTCGGCACTGTCCCTCCATCCTCAAGAATTCAACTGTTCACTGTTCTTACCAACAACTTCTCGGATTTCATGCACGCTTTCACTCCAGATAACTCGTATGCTTTGGATACGCCACTAGAATCTACCTATATATATGCTGCTTATATGCTCTCACCCACTTTTCCTGGTGTCGAGATCTCTGGTTGCTTGCCAACTTGACCAGCGCCTTCCCCCTTCTCGAGATCCACCATCTCAACATCGCCAGACTGGCCACCTACAGCCTCGACTTGCCCGGCGCCGGTTTCCAACGGCTGGCTTCCGGCGCTCTCACTGCGCACGTTACCAGAACTCCGTGACCACCTGTCCAAAACGCTTTTCCTATTGGAAGTTGCCGTGGACGTCATCGTGTTCCTCTTGCTTGCGGCACCTGTGCTGTCCAACTGGCTGCGCATTCCGAGCATCAAAGTTACATGTCGGAGTAGAGGTTGCAGGGCGGGGAAGCAGCCGACCCAGAGACCAACATGGAGCTCGGCGTCGGTCCATGCAGCTACAGTGAGCATCTTGTACGTCCTAGACTGTGTCAGTATGCTGAAGTCGCTAGTCTAAGCCGCGCCTTATTCGCCATAAGGAGTGCTTACGTGTTTACACCGAAGTCCGTCGTGACGATAATGGAAAATCGAACGATGCCAGTAACGACAGCAAAGATTCCCAGAGAAAAAACCAGCAAGATTTGTATGGCCCTGACGCCCATTTTGACGTAGTTCGTCACAACACATAGCGGAAGGACGACCAGCATACAATCAACAAAGATGCAGATAATGGCATGGCCCAGCATCATCGATCGCTCTTCGCGTTTGTCTCTGCATTGTCGCCATGTGCTAGAATAATTGAAGACATCACTGGAGCAATGAGTCAGCCAGCCATCGCTAGGCCTCAGGGGAGTGTCCCTCTTACGGTATCTGCGAGCATTCTGTCAAGACGAAAAAGAATCCCGACAAACTGACTATGATCACCATAGCATTGAGAGCGTATATGCTCCAGATATATATCTCTGGCAATAAACATCAGCAACTAAGTATGTTGGGGACTGGGATAATCATACTGTTCTTGCTCAAGCGTGGAAGAAACGCTAATATAGACAGGCGTACGGCACCAGAAGCGAGAAAGTAGACCAACTCCATGATAGAAAGCCTCTATTCGCAGCACGTTAGTTCCGCGGAGGACTTTCAGTATGAGAAATAGCTGACCTTGAAGAATTGAAGCAGCGTCGGCCGGGGAACATCTTCGATCTGGGCCCCGGTGCCGTAGTTGGTTGTGTCCATTTCAAGGGCCGAGAGTGTGACACACAAGGCCTGGTTCCCGTGTTAGTCCATGCAACTTACACCAGGAAGCGGCTTGACCTACCCAAGCTACTATTGCAAGGAAATCATCCCAGCCTAGAGCTTTTACTATGATCTCCCGTGTGAGCAGACGGAGAGAGACCAGCAATGTCGAAACAATAATCAGAGCTAGGTTCAGGTCGAATACATGGTGTCCACCCGAGTTAGGGTGGTACCGCAAGGATTGTCCGACATCAACCATTTCAACTCGTCAAGACAATGTCGTTGGATTTGAGTGCTTCGAAAGCTTCGAGATTCTTGCCATTCATGGAAGAGACCAAGGCCATGTGCCGATTATCCGAGGCGGCCGATGGTTATAATGGAGTCATGGACCACATTCGCCAGCGTTGAGCCTATACCAGAAGCGTGGGCTACGGAAACATCTACGTACGAGAAGGCACTTGACGCCCAAGACACGCGCCAAGCCCCGTTTCGAACAATTTGTGCCATTTTCTGACGCCTTGAGTGCTTGAGCAATCAGACACTGGAGTCTACCGAGTTTGAGAGGCCTCTGGAGGCGAAAACCAGGCCAGGCTGAGGTCGATGCGTCGATGGGCTAGAACAGCCGCCGGAATTGCTCATCGCCGCTACATCTAGAGTTTACGCCTCAAATACCAGTCTCAGAAGCTACCTCTGCGGCTGGAAAGGCGCGGGGTGGCCAGAATAGTTCACGACATGCTCAACGATCTGTAAAAAGCGACTTGCACCAGAGCCGAAAGCTCGTAGATACGATGGTGATTGGCGCCTTATGCCTGGGGGTTTTCTTTTTTCTTCGATGATGGAATCTTGAGCAAGAATTGTCATTCTACCATCAGGGGAGTTTTCAGCTCTGTCGTTGTCGTCACGCAGATCACATCGCACGGGATTGAGAGGTACCGCCCATCTTCATGTTCCGTTCCCGGATGCTTTCTCCCTTTCTCCCTTTCTTCTTTCCTTCGATTTCCTTCGATTTTCTTTCTCATTAAGAAGACGAGTTCCAGAACACCTGTGTAATGGTTGTGTTTCTTCGGCGATGACTGTGTATGATGCTTCTCGAAAGCTTGGCCTGGACCCCGAGCTTGACTTGACGTGACGAAAGCGTCCAGATCCAAACCTAAATAGTAGCCTTTAAGATTTAAAGCATTACTCCTCGGCTATAACCGAGCCTCATCGAGGAAATAGTCTTTAGTTTCGCAGCGCGTGTAATGTTCACTGCCCACATATCGATCGGGCTGTGCTTACTCATGCCCAAAACGACACATGCATTCCTCGCCATTGCCGCGTCCAGGCCTCCCTTCAAAGACATTTACGATTGATCCAATTTAGCATGCCACTGAACAAGACCGGCGCCCTCTCATCAACAAACTTGGCAAGAAACAGCAGTTCTTATTAATTCTTTCATCAATGGAACCTCGGAGCACATAAGTAAGCAGGGAGCCTGTCTACGATCCAGACGAGTTCGGCACTCAGATGCGAGGCAACTTGATCAATACTTCCACCATTGTTCTTGCAATTCGATCCTCTTCTCGGTTGGTCTTGGCATACAACGCCTTTGACGAACGCGGCAATCGCTGATCCATACCAACACAAACGAGCGGCAGCAGTCTTGGCCCAATTCCACACCCTGCGTCACTTGTTCCGCCGGCTCGCGGAGAGAGGGGGCCAAGGGACTTTGAGAATCTCAAATCGAACGAATTGCTTCGTCACCTAAGTTCGACGAGTCGATCTGCGTATCTGGGTACTTGCCCCGAATTTTGGAGGTGAGAGCTGGGAGATATTCTTTCTTTATTCACTTTCAGCTTACCCCGAGCCAAAGGTCCTACGTCAATCTCATCCCTTGCAACACCCTCAGCTCTGCCAACCAAGCTCCCAACACTGCACGTCAATATTTTCCCCCCCTTCTTCGGAATAAAGCCAAACGAATGCTTCAATTCAAAGCTCGGAGTTTGGGTATTCCAAAGTAAGCTCCGACCACATTAAAGTCCAAAAAGAAGAATAAGCAAAGGGAGAAGAGCACCCATCGGCACAGTTCGTATTACGCCAAACTAGCAAATCGCCGTTTTCGTCAGGACACCAAGCAAAGAATCTCATCAGCCTATGTACAAGCCGAACAAAACCAGAGAGCAAACTTCCCTTCCTAATGAGTACCTCGTCTCAATCCGACAGCATCGCCCCTGCCGCCGACTCCGCCGCCCAAACCGTCAACTCCCTTCTCCTACGCACTTATGCTCTGCTGCAAACGCCTCTGTCCATCCTGAAGCTTCACCAGGCTCTCAACGCCGCAGACCAGGCCCTTGCCATTGCGGCGCACTTGCACCGCTTCGACCTCGAGCCTCGCGCATACCTGTACCGCGGTCATGTACTGAGTGCCTGGGGCCGTTGGCGCGAGGCTCACGCCGCATACGTCCGGGCCGCCAGTGTGAGGGGGGTCGGGTTCGCGGGGACGAACATCCGGGGCTTGACGAGGGATTGTCTGACGATGATTGAGTTTGAGGATGTGAGGCGTCGGCACATGAGGCGCGCTCTGGAGATTGAAGGCCAAGCAACAAAGGATGGGTTGAAGATGGTTCGATTTAGGGACGAGGAGAGTCTGGTTCTCAAGGCCTTTTATGATTATGATGATGACGATGATACTAATGACGACATTGACGACGATGATGAGACGCAATCCGAAGCGAGTCACAGCGGGCTCTATCTTATTTTGAACGGCAGCGGAGAAGTTGTCGGTAGCCGGGAGAGTCTGCCTGACTTGAGGAGTGTACGTGGTAGATCTGTCACCAGATCGCCGACGCTGTGAGTTTAAGGGGCGGGAATATGATGGTAATTACGAGTACAATAGCCACATTTTCAAAACGGAAGCGTTTTGTATGAGCGCCGCTAATTGAGAAACTCATATGATCCGTCAGAAAGCTCTAACAACAAGTTGTTTGCCTCACTTTTCCCTTTTTGGCTGCTTTTGTGAAGTCAAACCATTGAGTCCTTTGATGGCATTATCAATGTCGCGACCTGTTTCATTTCAAAGCAAGCATAGACACCAAAGTCTTTGTGTTCTGCGATTCCCTTGCATCATCCTCATATCATCTTACATCAAGCATCCAAATGATGCCACGATGAGGTCTCCGGAAGACACGAGAAGATCCAATGCCATCCAAAGTTGGGCCAAAGATTGATAACTTTAGGAGATCCCTTAAAGCCAAAAGGTTTGAGAATATTTGATGCTCATTCTTCGTTCCACCTAGATTCTGCTCGGGCCCTCGAGTGT